TTTTTGATTCTTGTATTATACTCATATATTTCAGCCACATAAGTTATTTTATTTTGTAGATATACATGTGAATATCTAATTTTTATTTTACAAATAAAAATTAGTGTTTGATACTCGAAGAGTTTTTTCAGTGGTATTCATTGAAGGGTTTGCAACATATTTGCATTAGAGATTCTAATGAAATGTTTCAAAATAATCTGGTATGTTTCGGGGTGTTCCCGAATGTTCCAGACTATTTCCGTACAGAATGTTCCGGGACGTACTTTTGAATTGGCTTGAATGTTCTAGACTAGTTTAAAAATATTAAGAACGATTAACTTCCAGTCCTGATATCTTCAAAAGCATGCCCTTTAGGTATAAAAGGGAACCTTCTTTATGGATGAGCTTATGTGACACTATTACCATTGTCTATAGATTTATAGTCAGTCAAACTTATGGAGATATCATTGGAGGACGATGGAAACGAAAAGTAGATGGCGCCAATACCGTGGTCTCCAAAAAAGAGATAAAAGATTGAGATGGTAAGTGAGTAGTAAAAAGTTGTAAATGATTGCCAATACCGTGGTCTCCAAAAAGAGATAAACGATTGAGATGGAAAATGTCGTAGTAAAAAGTTGTAAATGATTATTTTTATGTTTCTGACAGGTTTTGTCTTCGTGACGTGCTCAGTTGCGTTGCAATTAATAGATATATAAGAGATTATTAGTAGTAAATTTTTGTGATTCAGAGATCAGAATCACAATTGTTTTCTTCGTAATCAGTTTGTGTTATTTGTGCTTTTAGTAGTTATTAGTTTGTGTTATTTGTACTTTTATAAGACAATAATTGTGAGTGAGTTGTAACAGAGCATCGAAAAAAGGTAAAAATATATTCGATAGTTAAATTTGAAATTTCATGTTATTAGATCCTCTCAAATGTATTTCCAAAATAAATTATTCAATAAATGAAAGTGGGCGCAGTAGGCTATGTTGTAGGAGGTATTTATTCACGACCACCTGAATAAATTGTGCAGTCACCAAAATGAAACCAAATGACCATTGTTTGCCAAATAATCTTAGGACATATGTCATTTCACCTTCTGGTGCACCCTCTCCACATACTTAATGTGAAAAATTATACATCAAAATTTGTCATTTCAATTTCTTTGGTCTTTGGCTAGTACACTTGTAAAACAAGTGACCTAATTTTCAAGTTGGTGATGGTCATTTTGCAAAAAATACTTTTATATTTCAAAATATGTGATGAATGTGCATTAACTGGTGAAGATTTTATGAATAATGAGATTATTTTTATCAGCAAATTTACCTAATTGAGTTGTTGGCATTTTGTTCCTTTTACAATTTTATCTTTATTTGAACAGATTCCAGATGTCTGGAAATAAATGTGCCTACAACAAATGTGGAGTCTCAACTAGAAATTACCATAGTTTGAGGTTTTTCCGTTTTCTATTCAGGTAATAAAACTCAACAGTTCCCAAAATTCAGGAAGAAGTAAAAAGCAAAAGAGTGGGAAGATGCAGTTTTTGCGATCGGAAAACAAATCGTAAAACCACTACTTCTTGTTTCAAATGTAGTAAATTTATATGTAGAGAACATACAACTTGTGTATGTGTAGAGTGTCGCGTAAATGTAGTATGATAATTTGAAAAATATTCAAAGCAAACAAAAATGTTAAACAACAGAACAAACAGACAAGAAAGCGAGTCAATAAAAACGTAATAAAAAATCATGGCCCAAAAAGCACCAATTTTAAATGGAATCAGAACATAAATCACTTAGCTTATACGCCATCTTGAATCTTGTGAAAATATATAATCTTTGACTTCAAAATACCAATTTTCAATAGAATCGGAATTAAATTACAAAACTCTTCATCTATCATGAATGTTGATAAAAATCTTTCAATTCACCAATCTCAACCTCTATGTTTCTTCTATTGTGAATGTCGTTAATGCATTGTCACTCGAATGATATGTATGCCTGCCAAATTTCAAGATAATTGGATAAGTGGAATTGCCTCAAAACGATATACATCAATATATATACTTGGTTATTATTTTTCAGTAAATCTGATATTTTGAACATCTGAATGCAAACTATATCTCGACTTCAATTCAGGTCAACATTATTTCATTCATAATTATTTTTTGCACTATCTTCAATGAAAGTTTTGCCTTCCGATGAAGGCACCACATTACGGGATACAATTTCAGAATTTCTAGTAAAAAACGTATTGATGGCTCTGGCAACCTCTATCCAATGCATTTCACATTGTGGTTGACCGACTATAAATCCTTAGACAATGCTATTACTGCTATTAAAAAAAATAGGCATATATGTCTGTAACCTGGACGGACCGCTATAATCTAGTTGAACTACTGTCCACTAGATGCCCATACAAGTATTCATTATGAAATATGAAATAAGTCACAAAGTTTAAAATGAGTTATTGATTTATTCCGAAATTAGAAATGATTATAATTAGATAACATCATTCTCAACAGTACTTACAAATAGAAATCACAATCGATACAATTATTCCCAAATTAGATCACTTTCATACATTTTTAGAAGTGCGAAAATGCTTCTTTTTATTGAAAACATTCAGGCAAGTTATTCATATTATTGAATCATTGTAGTCACCGAATAATATCTATGGTTCATATGTCCATAAAGATTACACACAATGAGTGATTCCTAAAGAATTGATAGAAAACTTATTGGACTTGTCAATCTTGTGAAAACCTATTGAGGTGCATTGAAATGTTATGAAACAGAAATTTCATGAGAACTGACACCAAGTTTTGCATTTCCCAGGGGAAATTGTTTCCAATCTTGGAATGACATTCTGTTCCGCAATCTCGTGAAATATTCATTTGGATTTGTAGGTATATTGAAGAATGTTTTTCATATGGTGAATGAACAGAGATAAACGAGTAGTTGTTTACAGCAGAACGGTGCTCAACCTCATGTTGGCGGTAAGGAAGCAATTTAGTAGCCTACGAAATCACCTGATTCAACCTCCTTACATTTTTTCATTGGAAACGTTTCGAATCCACTGTTCATAATACATACCTTCTGATATCGAAGAACTTAAAGGATGAATTAGAGCAGCATGCCGCTCAAGTCTTGATGAAAATTTCCGAAATGTTCGAGAGGAGTGCGATAAACTTCATTACTGTTTAGAGTAGAATGGACAATATTTCGGACAGTTCATCAGATGATACGTGAATAGATGTTTGGAATTTGTTTTTTTGCAAATTACCAGTTTTTTTTTGTANACTGACGAAATACACCATGAAACATTGTCAACCACCTTTAAACAAATCTCTTCAATTATATTAGATATTGTCTTTTGTAAAAATAACTGCAATTGGAAAACAAGTTACCCACTTTCAAAAACCTGTAACGAATACATTCAAGTGATGATGATAGAAAGATTACTTGTCCATGTCAGGTCCGTTTTCATGGATTAATAATGAACACGTCACTGAATAATTAGGAAGTTAATAGTAGGCAATAACTTCACATAGTAAACTTTTCAGTTTGTTCTCTATCACACTTCAGCACATTTCTGTTGATCTAAATGTATGAATGTTCCGTATTGCAGAAGGAAGAAAACCCCAAACAAAAAAAACAATGACATCTCCACAGAAATGTCTTTCAAAAATCAAATTCTCGCAATAAGACAATGATATAATTACGAAAAACTCAAAAACACTTCTTCTTCGAAAATTTAGAAATGTATATACTTTTGTTTGAAGGTGGTTGACAATGTTTCGTGGTGTATCTCATCAGTTCGGACTTCCATTGTCTGATATAATATAAATTGATTTGAAATCCCTGATTTAAAATCAATTCATATTATATTAGACAATGGAAGTCCGAACTGATTTATATAGTTTGCAAAACTTTGTTATAAATTCATAGTATCTTTAAATAAATATTTCCATGGTTTCGTTCTCTTGTACTTCCCCTGTATCAAAACAATCAACTGAAAGGAAAATGAAATGTTCAATTGATTACGGACCTTTCGGAAGCCAATCAATTGCGCCCCGCAACAAAAGTGTTCCGTCGTGGGAAACTTAAAATAGCCTACTCGGTGGCAAAGATATATTCTATCTTAGATAATCACGGCCTGAAAGGAGAGCGGAAATGGAGATCTTTTAATAAATCTTTCTCTCTACGGAGATTATTTTCAAATCGGCGGTTCCTACAACGATTATTTACTCGATAAGATTGGCTGGTTTATTTATAGCTACTCTATCTTTCTTGGAATCCCTAATTTTCCCACACCGAGTTATCTCTTCGAATATTATCGATACTTAGGGATAAACATAAGTAAACAAATAGTTTTACGCATATTCTGAAAGGCAAAACAAAGAAGTAGCAGAGCTATGTTGTGAGGGAACTACATTGGGACCAAAATGGGGATGTTATAAGAGATTGTACACAATCATGAGTTATTAGAAAATGTCTTTCCGTAATGAGGGGAGTGTTCTTCTCCTTTACCGCTTGAACGATTGAAGGTTACTTTGTTTCATTCATTCTGTGATAGAATTTATAAATGTGTGAATCATTGAACTTATTCTCATTATCAGATTCAATCTAATACTAAAAAAATGTTATTGAAGCGTGAATTCATCATATATCAGTTTGGTTCATCTCTACACATCTCCACATTTGTAGAGAAACCGTAGTTTATTGGACAATATAACAAACACACAATCTACATATTTGCTAACTGTTAACGATAAATGTATTCGGCTTCTTCAGATTTGAAAAACCAGCACAAACCATCAATTCAACGTACTTGGCACAATGTATATCTTCTGTCGAGTAGAAGACGGAGACAGATTTCAACCACCAAAATGTTAAGTTACTGATAAATTTTTCTGTGTGAAAAATACTTTGAACNATGTTCTTATTTATACAACGCTAATGGTTATCATCAGGATATGATTCATATATTATATCAAATCAGCAACAATTATTGCTTGAAATAGTTGTGCTATTGCAAAGTTAATTTTGTCATGTCAGGTTTCATTCAATAAAATATTACATTGTGAGTATTCAGAGCCGAGTATAGAAGAACGATAATGTCAATGAATTAAAACGCGTATCTCAAAACAGTTTATCATTCTGCGTGAAGAATAAATATTCTGGACGTTATGGGGTGAGTTTTATAAAAATGTTAATACATTCTGAAAGACAAAAAATTATAATTGATCAGTTTTATGCTTGATAGCCTTTGCAATATTCTCATATTCATTAGTTTTTCGCTAAAACTGTCCCAGCTATACAGGGCTGTACTATCTACTATTCCTAATAAAATATAAAACTGGAACCTGTGACGTAGAATAAATCCGAAACATTAGTTGTGTTCATCTCCTGAGAACTCCAACTTGGTTGGTGAAACGCGCATCGAGAAGAGTATTACATTTTTGGTGAATTACAAAAGTGTTTATGGAACGCCGTTTAACTTTTTATTGTCACAAATATTCATCTAACACCTAACAATTTATTTGTTTGAATGTGATTGATTCATGCATTTGTTGGACACATTAAAAACCATTGTTCGCAAAATTTGTTCTATTTTAAATGACACTTGATTTAAAATGTTACATAAATCAATTTATTTGAATAAAAAAATAATGAAATAACTTGAAGCTTTTATTGATTCCGAAGAAAAATATTGTTTCAGAGTATTGGAAAATGGAACGCCAATTTACTATATATTATGCTGAAAAATAATCTATATACATATAGTTCAA